CGAGAAATCGAGTTTGCGTTAGCTCATTTTGGCTTAATCGTTGCACCCTGAGCCTGCGATGAGCTAACGCAAACTCGATTTCTCGACTACGAAAAAAACAGAAAAAGGGGGATTTAAGACACTTGGCCTTACAGGCCAGTGTAATAAGGATTGAAAAAGAGTCTGTATCGAGGTCAGACTGGTGAGTGGTCAGCATAGATATAGGAGACCTATGGTGGTCAGTATAAATATAAATTCTCACTCCTTGATAACCGCCATCTTTAATTTTGTCGTGTGTTTGTTCGTACGAGCTTCGTAGAACTTCGTAAGTTCTTACGATCGCTGACAATGACGTCGTGTAAATGATGTCATTTTGAGTTATATATAAAGTATAAACTTCTTCGACTGAGCGAAAAGCGGCCAAGTTTTTTGCTGAAGTTTATACACATCTACATGTTCTAGTTCTTCTATATCTATGGAATACACAAAACACGGGGATACCCACATCAAATACCGCGCAACACCGAGTGCAAAGTCTTGGAAAATTATATTAGTCCAACAACGGAGGATATATTTACACACTATCAAATAGGTACGTAAATGTTTGTATTTTACAGTAAAATATATATTTTATGACATATTTTTACTGTACTATAATCATGGATAGTTAAAAGAGTGGATAGAAAAAAGGTGACGCGAGCCAACGGCCCAAATATTTGCTCGTTTGCAAATTGCAAATATCTACGCCATCTTGGATTTTGTGGCAACTAAAAATCTATATTCTTCATTCTTTGTCGTATTGTGCCAGAAATCGTAAGCTATCCATAATACAGTAAGATGTTTTCAAAACAAACCAAAAATATTAAAGTAACGGCTGGACAAAACTTTTAAACAACCAAGATGGCGCCTAATGACACGTAGTGACGTCACAGAATAGATACTATACCAGAAGCACAGAATAGGAAGTTATACCAGAAGCGTAACTCTAGTCGTTTCCCTTATTGTTTGACGTCCACGAAAATTTTAACTCGCTCACGTCAGGCCACGCCATCCTGGCTAGTACAGCCGGAAGTTTTTATCAGGATTTGGTAGGCGTGATTGATGACGAATCGCTTGTAAAAACGCGGACAAATATTTGCTCGAGTTACGCTTCTGGTATAACTTCCTATTCTGTGCCAGAAGTGTCACTCAGACGATATTTCATCCGAAATTTTACGTGCTGACGTGAAAATACGCCATCATATGACGCCATCCTGGAGTGCACATGGAAATTTTTCATGGGTACAAACATATGTACAAATTAAGTGTGTGTTGTTGTTAGGTACTCAGGTGAATGATGTTTGTGATGTTACTCTGAGTGTGCATCCACACCGGGCAAGCTGAAAAGTTTGCTTGGCCACCACGGTGGGATTTCCGCCCACCACAGTGGGCTGTGTGCACTCCAGGATGGCGTCATAGCACGTAAAAAATTTCGGACGTTTTTCCCAAGCCAAAACACATAGGAGTGATACTTCTGGTCTAGTATCTATTCTGTGGTGACGTCATGTGCAAGCAAATATGCGTCGGCGCATGTGTGTGTTAACAAAAAATACAATAGACGCGTAGTTTAGACATTAATAAAAAGTTTTCTAACATTTGAAATCTAAAAAGAAACTCCGGCCTTATGGATTTCTGTCGTTGACGACAGGAAGATTAAATATTAAAGAACTCCACAAGTATTTCCAGTAGAAAATACCACCAAAAAATTCTGTGTGAAAGATACCTATATACAATATACTCGAACAATATAAACAATGTATCACTAAGCCCTACCTTTCGCCGAATATAACTTTGGCCCCTTTCAGCGTATTAGTCTTGTTCGAATCACAATCAAAGACACTATTTAGAGTGTTATTTTCAAGCTTGTATCTGCAGATTTGCATGTTTAATTTCGGTATTTCGGAATATCTAAATTTTACGCGAGAGCTTCAACCGGAAATACAAGTTCAAACTTGGGATGTTCGGAAATCGATTCTAAAAGTCAAATTACCCCTGTAGGCTGTAGCATGATTTGCACATGCATCAGGCTATGGGTGCTCCTTAATCCTTATTGGTCAATTTTAGCATGTGGCACATATGTGCAAGTAAAAAAAATTCAAAATAAATATTTCTACTTGTGTATTCAAACGAAACCTTCTACATAAAAGCGCTTACAAAGAGTATTTTACTGCTATTGACTTGGGCGAATTCTGAAGAGGTTTGAAGATATTCAAGTGGCAAGTAAATTTATGATTGTTTTGGTTTGTGTAATGTTATGATGGAATTTGTTCCCCTGTTAGAAAGTTTA